TATTTTGTATGTCCTTGCCGGACATTGTTTCTTACACAAATGTCCCTGCTGGTTCCATTGAATGCACACACTTCCCGTGGACCTGTTCAGTCAAGACAGCTGGAACATGACTTACCCATAGGACCAACTGATGTCACCCAAAGGACCAACTCACTCAAAGGACCAACTAACGTCACCCATAGGACCGACTGACGCCACCCATAGGAACTACTGACGTCACCTATAGGCCCTGAAGCCTATGGGTGACTTCACAGCTCCTGGAATTCCCAGCCATTGTCGAACATTTCCAGAGCTGGAGCTGCAGGATCATATGACTAGAACAGAGAGGACAAAAAAAAGGTAAGTATACAGATTTTTTTTTTTTATACATAGATACACAAGAAAAGTAGGAGGGGTGGAAGGGAACCTTTTGCGGAATAGTTATGCTAGCCTTGAATTCCACTTTAATTATAAGAAAATGCATTTTTACGTCTCTGTTGCTGGTAGAAAGTTCCCTTCACTTCCTGCCTGGTAAAATAGTTTTAACAGAACAAAAGTGGAGAGAAATCTCTAACATTTTAAAATATATTTTTTAGAATATCATATATACAATATTACAGTTAGATGTGAGTAATGTCTTTCTATAATATTATATACAGTCTTTGTTTAATGCTTGATTGTTCTTCCTTTTTATCATTTCTAATAAAATAGTTTGTAGCTGACCATTGCCTTTATTAAGTGTTGCCTTGGAAATGTTTTGTGCTGAATCAATGAGGATGTTCAAACAATAGAAGGGAGGAATGTCTGTATCAGCTACTAAAAGGAGAATAGTATATTTCATATTATACAGCATTTATTTCTGTAGATATTTCATCGAAGGGTCTGTCCAACTAAAACTGTTTAACTCTGGACCAGGGGCGGACTGACAACTCATGGGGCCCCCGGGCAATAGGGGATCATGGGGCCCCTGTGTCCTTGCCCAAACTCAAAAAAGCCTATGAAAAAGGTACCAGGGGCATCTTATGGGGCCCCCTACTGACCCCGGTCCCTCGGGCAGTGCCCGAATTTCCAAATGGTCAGTCCGCCCCTGCTCTGGACACTGGTAGGATGAACCCCTCCCTGGCTTCCTATCTCTTGGAGACTATCCCTGCTGTGTTCATGGGTCTTTTCTATTTTTCCATAGATATTTACTGCTGCTGTTGTACAAGGGGGTCTCATAACGGCTGCTGGATTTTTCACAAAACACACAATGAATCCAGCATGGAGATTAGAAAACCTTCACAATTGCCCTGGAAACTTAAAGTGTCACTAAACCCACATCGTTGAAAATTGTCAGTACATGCTATATTATATGCTGTTCATACTCAGTCACTATGGGATTGTTTTTTGTATTCTGTGAAAAACCTAGTTGATCCTTCTGTTCACTGTCCCTCCCTCCTTGCCTGTGTCCCTTCTGCAGCCAGAGATTGTGTAGACCAGCCTTTGCCACATCTGCTGAGCATGCTCCAGTTTCAGTTCCCTTCTAAGCTGTTAATTTCCTCCTTTTTCTTATCTGTGCAGCCCATGTGACTATAGAGTCACTCATGTGGGCGTATACACTCCAGATAAATGACGGCCCATTCCCTCCCTCCTCCTCTATGCCCACTAAACAGGTCTGCGCTCTGGGACGGGATTTTACATGTTGATTGATGGAGGTGTCACCACCTTTTTAATTCTAAGCACATAAAAAGAAAAGACCCAGGCATGAAACAGGCTGTGATTGGCAGAACCTCCCCCTAGATAGCCCACGCCATGTTTGTGTACAAAAATAATAAAGATTTGAGTTCAAATACATATTTGTATGATGATTTAAAACATTTATTTAATTTTATTTATGTATTTTCCCTCTGTATTCCAAAGGCATTTTTTTAACATGTGAAAAGCAGCAGAGGATTGGAAGCTTCTCTTGCTCGTGTTCCTTTGCAGACAGGCAGGGAAAGAGCTGGGTCACATGACAGCTGTATATATCCCAACCACGGCACCACCTACCTGGAGTTTGCATGTTCTCCCTGTGCCTGCTTGGGTTTCCTCCGGGTACTCCGGTTTCCTCCCACACTCCAAAGACATGCTGGTAGGTTAATTGGCTCCTGTCTAAATTGGCCCTAGTATGTGATTGTATGAATGTAAGTTAGAGACCTTAGATTGTATGCCCCTTGAGGGTTAGGGACTGATGTGAATGTACAATGTATATGTAAAGCGCTATATAAGTACCTGAAATAAATAAATATTGATCATGAAAAACGGTCCTTAGATAATAAATACAGTACCATCATCAATATACATAAAGAGAGGGATAGTGCCAATTAAACAGTGTGTGTTTAATATCACTTTAATGGACCTAGGAATTTAGTTACAGATATCCCATGGATGAATATACCAATAAATATAAGAAGCTAAATTCCATAAACGTTGATTGCGTCATGCGTTCCTGTTATAAGAGTGCATCATGTTAGATTATTAAGCCCCATTCACACTTGGGCATTTTTTTGCTTGTTTTCCTAAACCTGACTAATCCTAACTATGCCTGACTACTCAGAATCAAATTCTTTCTAATTGCCTCTGCTCACACTTGTACACTCAGTCGCCCTGTATTCTACACCCTGTGTTCAAAAAAGTCTTGAGCTTATTCAGGTGTTTTGAATCCCCTAGACTTCAAGGGGAATGATCATGTTTTTATGGCTGTTCTTTTCCTATAGACACTGCTTTATGTTGTGGGTATAATAACACTTAAAATTAGACCTTGCAATCCATTCAAGGTGAGTCTAAGGTTACGTTCACACTAGCTTTGTCAGCAGGTGTCAGACAGGTGTTTGGGAAGCATTTTTAACGATTTTAATGAAAATTCTGCACATGGCAGCACACAGTGGTGTTCACACTGAAGCTTTAGCGTCATGTCAAAACTGACGCCTCATGTTGAGTCAGGAGGAGTTGAAGCCTCCCATTCAAGTCTATGGTGCCGCTCCTCAAATGCCTGGCAGGCGTTTGCGGGGCGTTTGCAAGGCGGTTGCGAGGCATTTGTGGAGCTTCAATACCATTTAACTTCATTATAGGCGTTTGTGGTGCAGTTTAGGACGTTTGGGGAGCGTATGAGGAGTGTTAAAAATGCTTCCCAAATGCCTGTCTACCGCCTGTCAAACGCTATAGGGGTGTTTGGCAAGAGTTAGAAATAAGTCGTGTGAATGAGCCCTAATTGGTAAAAGCCCCCCTCATACATGGTAATGCCCTTTAAATTAAATTGAAAAAAACACCTTAGGGGAGAACTCCTTCAAGAGATATCCTGGGGAATGCTGAGTACCCTAAATCTTGTGAAATGATGCTGCAGCAGAGGATCAGTACAGTAGCATCTTCTCACAAGAATTTTGCTTCATGGCTTTCCCCAAGATATTACCAAAAAGTATGCTGATGTCACCTTTTGCCTTTTGCACAGTGGCTAAATGGTTAGCACTTCCATCTGGCAGCACTAAGGTCATTGGTTCGAATCCCAGCCACAGCACCACCTGCCTGAAGTTTGCATGTTCTCCCTGTGCCTGCGTGGGTTTCCTCTAGGTACTCCGGTTTCCTCCCACACTCCAAAGCCATGCTGGGTAGGTTAATTGGATCCTGTCTAAATTGTCCCTAGTATGTGTATGTATGAATGTGAGTTAGGGACCTTAGATTGTATGCCCCTTGAGGGTAGGGACTGATGTGAATGTACAATATATATGTAAAGCGCTGCGTAAATTGACGGCGCTATATAAGTACCTGAAATAAATAAATAGGTACCACGGAAACGGCAATACGGTACTTATGTTAATTTTTTTCCCCATTTTTACCATCGTTTTGAGATTGGGTCCAAACATCAAATTTTAGTGCAAGGTCTGCTTTTATCAGACATTTGCAGAGACTTCTTAATGGCCTTACTAAAGTTATGTAACCATTGAAGGGGTTACTGGAGGGGTCTAGAGGTTTCCACATATTGTGGATTGGGGTGCAAAGACATCTAGTTACTCCCCAAAAGTATGAAGGATCATCAGAGGCCTCCCCAGCAGAGTAAAAGAATCCAGATGCTCCTCAGGTGCTTGTTCAATGGCATTAGCAATGTGGGGCCACATGTGCACTTTAGTGGTTCAGGGATGATGTACTTCTGGTTAGGCTGGTAAAAAAAAAATCTTTCCTGATGGCTAAAGATTAAAAGATTAAATGGCTTCTTGTGTATTTAAAAACCTATATTTTGTATGCCATCTGTTGCTTCTGCTAAGGAAATGGCAGTATACTGTATTTACAGTGTCGGGTGGGTGGAATATTGCTTAGAGATATTGTTACTATGCTTGAGACATAGAAACAGAGTAAAGGATCCCTATAGGATTAAAAATAGTGCACAGAAACAAATATGTATTTGATGAATGAAGACTACACAACTCAGAGTTTATTCTGACTCAGTGAAAACATTGATGCAACAATGCAATGAACTGTGCAACAATTAGAACTGAATTTACTTGAGTTTTTGCAGCCATTTTCATTAGCTTTTCACTATACGTCTGAGTTGGACTACCATCTCATGAACCCTTATGATTCTGTGTAGCTTCTTGTCACATGATTCTATACAGTGTAGCCTCCTGCACAATCACCTGTATGTTCAGAGGGCTCAGATATACGGCATCATTAGAGCGGAGTTCCACTCGCGCTGTCAAAAAATAAAAGTCAGCAGCTACAAAAACTGTAGCTGCTGACTTTTAAAAAACAGCCACTTACCGGTCCCGCGGTGTGTCCCCCGCAGCCCGTTTCACCGGCCGTCCTGTATTCCAGAAGGCCGGCATCTTCAGTGTGGGCACCCGGGTGTGATTTCTTGCGGCTTCACAGCCGGGTACCCACTGTGCATGCGCAAGTAGTGCTGCGCTTCATGAATGGTCCTGTAGTCTTCTGGGACCTGTCACGTGTCCCAAAAGACTACAGGGAGGGAGGACACCTTCTGCTTCCGATCGCCTAGGCGATCAGACTGGAAGTGGGAGCAGATACCTGTCAAATTGGGGTACCCGCTCCCCCCCCTGCCCCCCAAAGGTGCCAATCGTTAATGGGGAGCGGGGGAGCAGTCCTTAAAGCGGAACTTCCCCTTTTGGGTGGAGCGCCACTTTAAAAATGGTAGGCTGAAATTCAGGGCCATCCAGAAAACAAGGCTACTAGCACTGTGACTTCGCTGATTGGGTTTAGTCATCACTGCTGGGGGAGAACACATCGATCACTGCTAGCGGCTATAGCCGCTGGTAGTAATCGTGTGCTAAAACAGGCTAGTTGAATCCAAGTTGATCGATGGATCATGTGGTTGAGAAACACTGCTTTAGCACTTTAATGGAATACCAACACCTAGCAACACCTGGCAGATAATGTACCTGATGGTCTTTATTCTATGGGCGGCACAGTGGCTTAATGGTTAGCACGTGGGCCTTTCAGTAAATGGGTCATGGGTTCGATTCCCGACCATGGCACCTCCTGCATGGAGTTTGCATGTTCTCCCTGTGCTTGCGTGGGTTTCCTCCCACACTCCAAAGACATGCTGGTAGGTGAATTGATTCCTGTCCAAATTGGCCCTAGTATGTGTATGTATGAATGTGAGTTAGGGACCTTAGATTGTATGCCCCCTGAGGGTTAGGGACTGATGTGAATGTACAATATATATGTAAAGCGCTGTGTAAATTGACAGTGCTATATAAGTACCTAAAATAAAATAAATTCTGTGTTCAAAATAAAAGACATGTAGAAAAAAAACCAAGCCACAAGAAATTCAATAAAGTCTGGAGAGTCTGATGAGGCTCAATTGCAACCTTAGACCCTACAGATGACATTATCATCAAAATATTGATTTTGGGAAATCTAGACCAAAGATGAGTAAAAAACAGTGCTGGAGGGAAATACATATGCTTCCATTTATGATCTCTCCTAAAACTGCACGCCATCTGGCTATCATACTGCTCCAGTGTCAGCTGTGTTTTATAAAGCTGCCTATACATGGATCGAAATTTAGCAAATTCAGCAGGGACTGGCCAAATTTGATCCATGTGTGGTACTCTGGTTGAACAGACGTTGATCTACTGTTTGACATTTGTTCAACTGTCCTGTCAGATTTTCGCCTCTCAATCATAGATCAGTGTATTCTGACAATGGGGAAGTCTCCCTGCTGTCAAAATACAGTGACACAGGAGGGAGGATTCCCCTATCCACCTCAAATGTGTGACTGGGAGAATCGGGTCAATTTTTTCATTCAACACGAATTGAAGAATAAACTGACTAATCCTCTCCTGTATTAAAAGAGGTATAGTCTCCAGAGAGAGAGATATCATATTACCCCTGTACAAATCATTAGTAAGACCTCATCAGGAATATGCAGTTCAGTTTTGGGCACCAATTCACAAAAAGAACACTGGGGAACTGGAGAAAGTACAGAGAAGGGCAACCAAACTGATAGGCATGGAGGAGCTCAGCTATGAGGAAAGATTAGAGGAACTGAATTTATTCTCTCTTGAGAAGAGGAGATTAAGGGAGGATATGATCAACATGTATAAATACTTCAGTGGTTCATGTAGTGACCTTGGTCTAGAGTTATTCACCCTGAGGTCATCACAGAGGACAAGGGGGCACTCTTTACATCTGGAGGAAAATAAATTTAATTTCCAAACACAGAAAGGTTTCTTCACAGTGAGAGCTGTGAGAATGTGGAATAGACTCCCTCAAGAGTTGGTTCTGGCCAGTTCAGTGGATTGCTTTTGATAGTTCCTGGATTGTTTCTAAGATACACAGAATATAACTGGATACTAACATTTATAGGTAACATTGATCCAGGGAATATCCCATTGCCTCTCTGGGGATCAGGAAGGATTTTTTTTCCCAGCAGGAGAAAATTGGATCATGTTTAAATAGGGTTTTTTGCCTTCCTCTGGATCAACTGTGGGCATAGGATTATAACATTTTCTTTTTTTTTTTTATAGTTGAATTGGATGGACTTTTGTCTTTTTTCAGCCAGACTAACTATGTAACTATATGTAACTATGTAACAGGCCGCTTAAGTCACTGGCTCCCGGTCTAGGCGTTCCCTTAGGGACAGTAGCTATGAGATAGCTTTTCCCTGTATAGGTATTGGCCAACACTTTTCCCATCTGTAGAACTAAAAGTTATTTTAACATTGTTACAATATTCTAAGCCAGGGTAAGAACAGTGGAAAAAGAAAACATTCTGTGTAAATGAGGGGATTCTGTCAGTGGGGTGTTACTTTGAGTGTTAATGAATGTGTGCTTATCGGATGATATACACACTTGTTTGAGTGCAGCAGGTCTGCATGACAGCCAGGCAACCAATATTTACAGAAGGAGATCAATAACTGCCTCCTACATTTGTTTCTCAGCGTAGGTGACCAGAGTATGTACATTAATATTTTTTAACATGATGCACTTTGCTGAGAAAATGTAAATGTAAATTTCCTTGTACAATTCTGCTCACTTTTAGCTTTGAACCTACGCTGTAACTGACAGCTTTTGGTCAGTGCTAGCCAAAGGGAACTAATTAGCATGGTTCTCCACCGTCGTGGTCCATGATCTGTTCACAATGTTAGCTAAAACACACCGATATGCTCCAGGTGTCAGTTTATTGCTTTCTTTTTATGAATAGAGAATGAAATGCAATTTTTGAAATTACAATTAGTATATACAGTGTGTATGTGTATATATATCTATCTATCTATCTATCCATTCAGTCGTATCCGACCCTTGGCGATTGCATGGACCGTCACTCGCAAGTGACTTCTTCCATGAATTCTCTTAGCAATTATTTTATAGGGTAGGTTGCCCTACCCTATAAAATAATAGGCAGGTCTTTCCCTTAACCCCTACCATGCAGGAGATCCCGCATGGCCAGGGATGTATATATTTTTTTTTTCTTCTTTTTTTGGTCCATGTGGTAGACAGTAATAGGAAATATGAGCAGGGTATTTTGTAAAACATTGGAAGAAATCAGTGGAAAAATTAATTAGTCATAAATCAACCACCTCCTTAGTACTATAATTACCCTATAACACAATCAACACCTTCCCCTGAAAGTGTACCAAATTATATAAGTGACAGTGTTTTAACAAATACTCCAAAAAAAAATAATACTACAATCACCTTAATCCCCAAATTTTTACAAAATTATATAAATCCACTACCAATATAAAGTCCACTACAATTCTTTTTCAAGTTCACTAAAATATCCAATCAATTCTTCCAACGATATTCATAAAAAGTCCACCTCAAAGAAAAGAAAACTCATATAGTGCATTATCTTTTGCAAAATTATATATGTATATAAAAAAAAAAACTTTTATATATACTTCCTACAGTGAATATAGGTGAAAAATGGTGAAAAAACGTGAACCAAACGTGATCAGTGAAAAACACATCAGTGTATATAACACTCTTTTAGTGCCACATCAAAAAACTCAAATTCAAAAAAGTGTACACTTCTAAATGCAGTAAGGATACCCTTACCAACTTTCCCAATATAATAGGCTTTATAGTAATCCAGAAACTCCACAGGCTGAACCGCTTAGGAATCTTTCCTCTGCTGTATCCTGCAGCCACCACACTCTCTGGATTCCTCAGACACTCTGCTCACAGTGTCTCCAAAAAAACATACAGGACATAGTGTGATACCGCCAATAAAATTAACAACATGGACTTTATTTAAAACTGCTCACTATGCCAAAGCTTTTAAAATCGCATTAGAGGGAGTAAAGGAATCTCACGGTCATCCAGGGAAAACGTCCAGGTACACCTGCTCGATCTCTCCCTCATCCAAAATGGCCGCCAGGTAACTTCCGGTTTCCGGGAAAACGTCTTGACGTCACTCCACCTTGACGCGTTTCGTCATCGACTTAGTCATAAGGGGTGAAAAATTAATTAGGTTAACAAATTTGTGGTACACTTATTGTCACACTAAGGGCCCGTTCACACTTGACTTTATTTTTAACTCTTGCCAAACACCGCTATAGCATTTGACAGGCGTTAGACAGGTGTTTTGGGAAGCTTTTTTTAACGCTCCTCAGACGCTCCCCAAACGCCCTATGCGCGGTTTTGAGGCGGTTGATAGGCATTTGCCAAGCATTAAAACTGCACCACAAATGCCTATAATGAAGTTAAATGGTATTAATGCTCCGCAAACGTCTCGCAACTGCGTCGCAAACGCCTGCCAGACGTTTGAGGAGCGGCACCATAGACTTGAATGGGAAGCTTCAACTCCTCTTGACTTGACCAGAAGCGTCTGGTCTGTATTGCCGCAACGCTAACACTTCAGTGTAAACAGCATGCAATGTGCAGAATTTTCATAGGCATTTGAGAAGCATTAAAAATGCTTCCCAAACACCTGTCTGACGCCTGCTGACAAAGCTAGTGTGAACATAGCCTAACTCAAGCAAACGGACAGCTAAATTTGGTCTGGACATGCACACATCAATGGCCTGTGGGCATGAAAGGCTTAAACTTTGCTTTCATTAACTCATGCTGTATTTTTACTAAAATGGTTAATCGCAAACCTGGTTGCTTTTGTCGTTTGGGATTGTTTGCACAGTCCACATGCTGTTCTATACCAAATCCTTTTCGTTCATACACAGAAATTATATTTGAATTTGGCTATTATTCTGTTTTTCATGGACGATCAATAATGTTTATGTTTATACACACTTTAATTATACTAGGTGAATAAAAGAAACTGCTAGATTAAAATTGGAGTTATCCATCATGCAGGTTTACCTAGAGTCAGTTTAAATACGCTTTGATGACTGAAACAAAGACATCATACTGTATGTTCATTGGTTTAGGCAGACACATCATTCAACTGTCAATTCAATTTAATATTAACATCTAAAAACAGGTGTTTCTAGCATGTTACCTTTACTTTGCAATGATGCGCTTAGGCTGGGACTGGTGTTTGTACCTTTTTTTTGCCCTTGAATCTAAACTTTTTTTGTGTGTGTGTGCGCTGAGCAAACTATTTAAATACAATTAT